CACGTGGGACGGGACGGCGCTCGCACGTGGGCTACGTCACGCGGCATTGCGCGCGCGGTCACGTGACTCTCGCAGCGCGTCGCAGCCTTCCCCCCGCGCTCCCGGTGCGTTTCCAGCGCGCTCCCGCGCTCACACCGCGTGCTCCCACGGCTCCTGGTGTTCCATGTACCCAGGCCTTCCAGTGCTTCCAGAATATAAAATGGGGGGAAGAATGAGGAAGAGGAGGATTTCTGGAGTGATGGTGTTTGTCTTCTCAAATAATTGTAACGTGATGGGGCCCTGCTCTCCCGGAATATCTGAACACCTGCTTGTCCATGCGAAGGGGTGACTTAATTCCCTGTTTTGCTTTGCTTGTGTGTGTGGACTTCGTTTTTCCTATTAATCTGTCTTAATCTCAACCCACAAGTCCAGCTTTTACCCTTCCATCTCTCTCCCTGATGCTGCTGATGGGGGAGTGGGCAAGCGGATGTGTGCGGTTGCTGGCTGGGGCTAGACCATGACTCTCATTTGTCACCCAGCGTGGGGCACTAAGGGTTGTGATAACAACAGATCTGTCCAGAGTGGTTTGGAAACAAACTTGATCTCAGCATTTGCTGTATTAGGTCCAGAGCCACTGGTCACAATGGTGCTTGGCCCATTTGTGTGGGTTTGGTACCTAACCCTGGCTCTGTTCCTGTGTTCCCATGCTCCTCAGCGTGACCTTTTACAGAGCAGGGACAAGGATCAGCATTTCTTTGTTGCTGTACTGTGCGATATGAGTTTATGACATGATAATATCAAGGGCAGTGAGGGTACTGTGGGATGTGTATTCAGTGCTGCTCTCCTGCCCTTACTTCATCACTACCTTTGGGAGTCCATTAATAACTGTATGCAGTCTGGGGAGGGAACAGGGAAAGGATGATTTTGTCCCTTCCTCCCCCCCTTTCCTCCTTCAGGCCTGCTACAATAGCTTTTGAGAAATTTGTATTCCCTTTGGATGGTAAGGAAAGCGTTTTCTTGTTGCTATGTCTGCTATATCTCAGTGCAGCCCACACTCTGTTTCGAGTAATGTTTGGAGGCAGAACAGAGATTTCCATTAAGGCCATTCGGAGACCTGTCCCAAGGGGGAATAGTCATGAGTGGCATGGACTGTGCCAGAAAATTGGCCAATTTTATGAGGAATTCTCTGCTCCAGTGGTTTGGGAGTTCACCCCTGAACAACTACAGGACTGATAAAATGACAGAATATTTGCAAGGAGAATGCTGTGGCAACGCCAGACATGAGCAGCTTACTGCAGTGTGTTGGGCCCTGGCTACTCTTTATGGGACACAGGTGGTCAGTAGCCAGCACCCTCAGGGGAGGAAGAGGAAACAGCAACAGGCACCGTGGCCACACTGACTGCAGCTGAACCAGGGCAACAACCCGTGCTGGAAGCAGTCACCCCTGCAGAGAAGAAGGAATCCAAGACAAAATCAGTTCAGTTAGTGAGGGATGGCAAAGCAGGGCCCTCAGAACAGGAGAAGGAGGCAGGGCCATCGAAAATCACCTGAGAAAATCACCTGGTCCATGTCCCTGGGTGAGCTCTAAGATGTGTGAAAAGGTTCCAGTTGCCAGTTAGGTGAGCCCCTGGTGACTTGGTTATTCCAGTGCTGGAGTATCCTGGCCCACGATATGAAAGTGAAGCCAAGCAACTGGGATTCTTGTCCTGAGATGTGAACATTGACAAGGGCATCTGGAAGAGGACAGAAACTCTCAGGCTCTGAAGGCAACTCCTGTCAAGTATGAGGGAAAGGCATTTTCTCAGGGATGATCTAGTAGTGCACTGAGACAAGTGGAGCACCATGGAGCAAGGTACCCAGTATCTTGGAGAGAATTAGCTGTGCTGGAGTTTGAGTGTCCTATAGGGATTCAAATAACCAAGTCCCCTTTATGCCCAGATGATGGGTGTGCACAGTCCTTGTGGCACAAGTTTTTTGAGAGCATGCCATTATCATATGGCAACTCTGTCGAGTAAATTGGCAGAGGGAGCTGTCTGGTATCATCTGTTGTTGGGAGGGGGGGTCTTCCATATGAATCTTTTCTTTTACCCTCTATTGTTACTGTTCATTTTCTTAAAGCCAGTAAATTGTTCTTATCTCAACCAGAGATCTTTACCTTTTGAGCCTCCAGTTCTCCTCTCAGTTCCCACCACTGTGGGAAGGGGGAAAGTAGGGGAGCGAATGGGCATAGTTTGGAGGGTCTCGGTGGGGGCACTGAACAGGGGAGTACCATTCGTAAACTACAACAGATTCCAGTGCCCCTACCCTCCACATCCCCAGTGCTCCCAATGCCCCCATGGTCCCTAGGCCCACAGTGTCCCCAGTGTCCACTGATTCTGGTGCCCAGTGCTTCTGGCTCCCCGTGCTCCTGTTGCCCAGTATTTCCAGTACCCAGTGTTCTCAATGCAGTGACAGGACTCCAGCTCCAGTATCAGTACCACAGCTCCAGTATCAGCACCCCAGGCCCCCCTGCACAGCACAGGACTACCTCCCAGCCCCCAGCCTGGTCTCCATTGCCAGCCCTACTGAGCTTGTAACCGGAGCTCTGATAGCAGCTACAGCTGAGGTGACACCATCAATAATTGAGTGGCAGCAGGGCTCCACACAGGACTGCCTGCTTCTGCCTGCCTGGAGTGTGGGGACAGGTAGGTGCCACCCCCTTTATTCTATCTTGGCACCGTGGCTGGGCACCCCCAACAGCTCAGGGTGTGGGGAGCCGGGTGTGAGGTGTAGGATATGGGGGGTGGGAGCAGCAAAGCCGGACCAAGGGGGGGTGCAAGGGGTTATGCTCTACAAAGCCCCTCACAGCAGCACAATCCCCTGGGATGCCAGCCCTGCCGACCCCAATATCTGGACCCTGGCAGATGGGTCCCCAGCACTCCCCAGCCCTGACACAGGGACCTCCACAGCATCCTGGGGTGCCCCAGCCCTGCAGGCCTAGCAGCACTGAAACCTAGGGAGAGGTACTTCCAGGGGGTACCCAGCACAGCCAACTCATGGCATGAGTGGGAGCTGTGAGGCTGGCACCCTGGGAGGATGCCATACCACAGCATCCTCTGAGGGGATAGATTTGCCTTGTTATAGTTTAGGGTTCACATGCTTCAATGATCTCTGCACAGGGGAGATTTTTAAAGCCACTGATAGTGTACAGAAAGGGTGCAGAACTTCCCATTTGGCAGAACTCCTAAGATAAGTAGGAAACTAACAAAGTCAACTCAGTAACTGTGCAAAAATCACAGCCTCACTCGCTTGTGATGGTGTCTCCGGCGATTGCCCTGGCCTTCCTCCCCTTCATTGTCACCCTGCTGATCCGGTATCGGCACTACCTGATGCTGCTGTACCGGGCAGTGCTGGTGGCCTGGCTGCGGGACCGGCTCACTGGTACCTCACGGGAGCAGCGTGCCTTCCAGTACGTGCTGGCCCACGCCATCCCTGGGGACCCCCACCACATCCTCCAGACCTTTGATCAGTGGTGCTACCACTGTGAGCACCTCAGCTGTGTGGGGCCTGACAAAGGTGAGTGCCACCCTTGCTTGCCCATACTACATGGGGCATGGCACTGGGCATGGCCATGGCACTGCCAGGATGGCTACGGCACTGCCAGGATGGCTACAGCACCACTGGCACAGCCATGGCACCATTGGCATGGCCGTGACACCACTGACATGGCTGTGACAGAGTTGGTATGGGCACAGCACCATTGGCATGGCAGTAGCATTGTTGATATAGCCATAGTATTGTTGGCATGATTGTGGCACTATTGCCATGGCCATTGCACTGCCAGCCCAGCCATGGCACTGTTGGTAGGGCTATGGCATCATCTGCATGGCTGTGGCATTTCTGGCACGGCTCTCCCCCATCCCTCTGGGTACTGGGAACTGCGTGGCACCTTTGCCCTGCCCAGGGCTGGGGTGGCACAGGTTTGTGAGTGCTGAGAGGCACATGCCACATCAGGGCGGATCGTGGAGCGGGTGCTGTTGGAGCAGGCACCGCTGCGGGTGCTGGAGCTGGGCACGTACTGTGGCTATGGCACTGTGCTGCTGGCACAGGGGCTGCCCCCCGGTGCCCGCCTCTACACCATCGAAGGGGACCCCCGACACGCTGCCGTGGCCGAGAAGGTCATCCGCCTGGCTGGCTTCAGCGAGCAGACTGTGAGTACCTGGGCACTGGGATAAAGCCCAGCTCTGCACCTCAAACCGGGGGGGGAGATGGGTGGGGGGTCCTTTGCTGCTGTGGCAGGGACTGCGGCACCTGCTGGGTAGTATGTGGGAAGAGAAAGGTCCTGTCCCATGTGGACCTCTCACCACCCTGTGAAGCAGGGTGGTGGGTGGGCACCCTGACACCCTGCCCCAGCCACTGAGGGTGCTGCAGCACAGGTGGAGCTGATCGTGGGTCCCTCGGAGGAAGTGATACCCCGTCTGCGGGAGAAGCACGGCCTGATGAATGCCAACTTGGTCTTCATGGATCACTGGAAACGCTGCTACCTGAGAGACCTACGGCTGCTGGAGAGCCACCAGCTGCTGGCTGAGGGGGCCACCATCCTGGCTGATAACGTCCTCTTCCCTGGGGCACCCCACTTCCTGCAGTATGCCAAGACCTGCGGGAAATACCACTGCAAGGTGCACCGCGCCAGCCTGGAGTACTTCCGCGCCATTCCTGATGGGATTGCCGAGCTCCACTACACTGGCACCCACTGAGCGGGCAGTGAGCTCCTGCCTTGTGGTAGCCACGGTTACCACGGGAGTGCCAGGTCCCCAACTCCCCATCTCAGCCTCAACATGGGCTCTGGAGGAAATGCAGTGGCTGCTGTGGTCTGTGGTGGGGCGCAGTGGGTAATGAGGGGGCTCATTCCTTCTAGTGCTCCTGCCTGCACTGCACAGGGAGGTCTGCCAGGCATTTCAGTAGACGATGGGAAGCAGCCCTGCACTTGCTTGGGTGATACCCCCTGCCTGCCCTGGTGGCCTTAGACACCAGATTTGGCCTTGTTTTCTTGAAAACAGTTTATTAGAAAAGATGTGTCAGCTCCAATGTGCAGTCTTCCCCTCTGTCTGTCCTGGGGAGCTTCCCCCTGAACCCCCTGCCCCACACAGCACCCACGGCAAGAGGAGCTTCACTGAACGTCCCCTAGAGCTGTGGGGGGCAAAGGCTCTCCCCCAGCCTCCAGTTTGGTGTGGTTGTGGCAGAATCAGATCATCCACTGGTCCTGATCCTGCTCTGTCCCCTCCATGTCCACCTGGGAAAGAAAGAGGTTTGAGATCTCCCACTGGAGCTAAAACCCAACAGAGGGAGTGAAGGAGAGAAGACAGCCTCTGGAGCTGGGTTCCCCACACTTCACAGCCCCTGCTTTAGGGTCTCACACTATTTACCTCATTGATCTCCCCATCATCAGGAGACTCATTATAATCATTCATCTCATCCATATCCTGCATGTCCTCATCATCTTCTGAGTCCTCTTCGCTGTCTTCATCATCTTCATCATCCTCCTCCTCCTCTTCATCATAGTGCTGTGGACACAACAGCTCCAGCAACTCCATCCGCCTCTCAAGCCCTGTGGCAACCCCCCACTTCCCTGCCCACACACCCACCTCAGACGCTGGCTTTCCTATGGGCACCAAGTTGTTGTCCTTCTCAGCGATGCTCTGGAGCTGAGGAAGGGAGAGAGGTGGGTGAGCATCCTGACAACTCCATGATACCCCAGCAAACAGGCTGGGGCTGCTGGCTTGTGTTTCTTCCTGACCACGCCTATTTCCAGCCCAAGTCCTGCTGCCTCCCTGGCATCCCCCAGCCAAGCAGGGAAGAGCAGCTACAGACATCTGCCTGAACACCCTGGCACCAGGCAGGGTGGTCCCAATAACACTCTGGAGCTGAAAGCCTTCGAGGTGTCCCCATGTGTGGCATGAGGGACTCAAACACAAAGCTTGTGTATTTCTTTATCAAAAAAGAACCAAATCTGAGACATCTGATCAGCCAGACGAACACAGCCACAGCAGATAATTAAAGCTCAATTAAAATACGTCAGCACCTCCCACCCAGAGGGACTTGGAACCTCTTCTAAGTGCTGGGGTTTTAATTGACTTAAACTTTATTATTTAATTATAACATCTTAATTATTGGGTTTTTTTTTAAACTTTAATCAAATAGATGTTCTTCGCCCCATACTCAGGGGCACTACAGCACCAAACCACGCTCATAGCGCAAACATTTGTCACTTACCAGGATCAGAAATCGCTCCTCGCCTCCCTCGGGAGATTAGTTAATTAATTAATTGGGAGCTGGTGCAGGAGCCTCGGTTCAGCAGCAGCTTATTAATTAACCTCCACACAGTAAACGGGGAACTCCGGTACCAGCCCGCACCGAGCCAGTGTGACACACGGATGGCAGACACGAGAGTAGCGGTGCCCGAGCCGGCAACACCGGCACAGGACGCTGAAACACGGGCACAGTCGATGAACACGGTGGGGAGCGATGCATGGAGGAGCCCCGTGTGCCGGGACGCCCGCGAACCCCACCCCGGGCACTGCACCTGCTGAATGAGCGGGGGCCGCTTCCCCAGCCCCGAACCCGTTCTTGGCCTCCTGACACCCGGCCCCGCGGCCCCTCATCTCCCCTCACTCCGGTGCCCACCCAGGCCTGGTGCTGCTGCTCCTGCTGCTGCAGCTCGGTCTCGTCAACGCACGGCCGGTCGAGGTTGAACCAGAGCGACTCGGTGAGGCGGGGCAGGAGTGAGGGGAACAGCGTGGACATGGCGAGAGCACCGGGAGCAGCGCCAGGCGGGCGCCGGCCACCGAGCCGGAAGTGGAGTCCAATCCGGAAGCAGTTATCGCGCACGGAGCATGCGCAGAGGGACTGCGGTTATGTCTGGCAGGGCCAGGCCCACAAGCGGAAGCATGGACGGGGCGTGGCCTAGGGCACCGTCTGGGGGCGGGGCGAGCCTGATTGACAGGTGGTGGGCTGGGGCCCCCGCGCGTTGGGGTCTGGGGCGCCGTGACGGGCCTGGTATACGTGACCACCCCGGAGTTACCTGTGACCTCCTGGGAAAATGTGACCCCAATGGAGAGGATCTGTGACCCCACGGAATATCTGAGCCCCCTTGGGTATCTGAGGTTAATGGTGGGTATGTGACCCCCCACGGGTACCAATGACCCCAGTGGGGAGATGTCTGTAATCCTCATGGGGTATCTGCTCCTTTGGGGCAACTGTCATCCATGGATGGGGGTATCTGCGACCCCACTGGGGGTATCTTCCCCATTCCTCAGGGCATCTGTGACCCCTGGGGCATGTCTCCCCTCATCATGAGTGACCTTGGAAGTATCTTACCTCCCTTCTCCTCGCCCCCGCCACCCCGAGGCATGTCTCTCACCGGCAGGTTTCTGTCCCTCCCCACCCACAGATGACTGCTCTTCCCCTCCATGGGGCATCTGTGATCCCCTGGAGTACCTGTAATTCCATGAGGGGTACTTGCCTCTACCCTGTGGCCATCTGTGACCCCACAGGGGTACCCTTCTCTACCAATAACATCTCTTACTCACTGTAGTGTTCCCCCCAGCCACTCACAGACACCCTGTGGTGTTGGGGGGCAGGTCCTGCCCCTTGTGCTGGTGTCAGGGAATCGGGAGGGAAGGAAAAACAGCCACAGGTGGATTTTGGCTGGTGCTGGCCCCAGCCTGGCGCCAGGAGGATGAATCCCAGCTGCATGCAAGGCTGGGGGGGCCAGCATGGTCACGAGTGTCCAGCCAGAACACAGCAGGGTGCCAGGGCGGGGTGCACCGTCTCCTCCGTGCCCTCAGTGCTGCCCAATCCGCCGCATTCCCACGTCCCGTGATCAGTGGCCAAGGGTTGTGCTGCGCCCCGACCTTTGAGAGGAGCTGTGCTTGTCCCACGGCACCCGGAGCCCAGCTGCCCCCCAGGTAAGAGCCCCGACCCCTGTCACCCCCCGGGTAAGATCCCTGACCCCACTGTTGGTGGTCCTGGGCAGTGACCATGTGCTGCCGCGCTTCCACGTGCACAGTGGAGGACTTTGTCCCTGCTGCCACCGCGTCTCTCAGTGCTGCCGTCCTGACCTGCTGTCGCCCTGGCAGAGCGATGGCAGCGGTGTTAGCTCTGCTGCTGCTGGTGGCCTGGCCAGCTGCCACACAGGACTCGGTGCTCAACATCTGCATGGACGCCAAGCACCATAAAACAGAACCTGGCCCTGAGGGACAGCTTTATGGACAGGTACGGTCCTCATCCACTGCACCAGCACCCACTGGTGTCACTTGCTGTGGGGTCACCAGGATGGAGGCTGGGGGGGCTCTGTGCCCCAACATGAATTCCATCATCCAGTGCCACCCACCCATGGGCACCGGTACTTTCCCTGGACCCACAGCAGGTCCCAGCTGAGCCCCTGGTGGGTGCTGATGGGTCCCAGCTGAGCCCCGGCTGCCCCGGTGCAGTGTGTCCTCTGGAAGGACAATGCCTGCTGCACTGCCAACACCAGCATGGAAGCCCACGAGGATCAGTCCTACCTGTACAACTTCAACTGGGACCACTGCGGGGCCATGCCAGAGAAGTGCAAGCGCCACTTCATCCAGGACACGTGTCTCTATGAGTGTTCCCCCAACCTGGGGCCATGGATCGACCAGGTAGGTGCAGACTCCCCCCTCACCCACCTACCAGAATCCCTGGGGTGAACTGGGGGAAACTGGGGGCCCTGCAGGCAGACAACAGCTGGCGGAAGGAGCGGATCCGGGATGTGCCACTGTGCAAGGAGGACTGTGACCAGTGGTGGGAGGATTGTCAGGATGCTGTCACCTGCAAGGTCAACTGGCACAAGGGCTGGAACTGGACTACAGGTGAGTGGGGGTTGAGGGGCACCCCCCATCACGCCTCGACCCTCCTGTGGGTCTCCAGTCTTGCTGCAGGGGAGGTTGTGTCCACCCTCCCCGGTGGCTGTGAGTGAGTCCGGGGGTGTGAGGGTCCCCATGCAGTGGGGGTGGCAGCCAGGTGGGAGTCCTCTGTGCATGTGAGTGGGTCTGAGGGTGTAAGAGTCCTCATAGCATATGGGGTGATGTAGTGGAAGACCCTGTGCCACCTTGAGGTCAACTCTGTCTTCCCCAGCAATGCCAGTGGGACCCATCTGCACCCCACGCACAGGGGAACAACACCCATTTCCCAAAGCCCTTCACTCACTTCACCCCCTGCCCGCCCCCAGGCACCAACCAGTGTCCCAAGGGTGCCATGTGCCAGAAGTTCAAGTTTGTGTTCCCCACGGCGGCTGCACTCTGCGAGCAGATCTGGTCTGGCTCCTACCGCTACACATCCTACCACCGTGGCAGCGGTCGCTGCATCCAGATGTGGTTCGATCCTGCGCAGGGGAACCCCAATGTTGCCGTTGCCCAATATTATGCCCGTAACAATGCTCCTCCAACTTCCCCATTCTCCATCCTGCTGTCCCTGCTGCCCCTCACCCTCCTGGCCCCGCTCTGAGCAGGAGGGGCTGCAGGCAGGAGCAGGCAGTAGACGGTCAGGGGAGTCATCAGGCTGCCTTGTGCCTCCTCATGGGATGTCCCCAAGCTGTGTCCCCCCAGGCATGTGGCTCATGAATAAACACTCCTGCTCTGCTTGGTGTGGGGATGCTGTGAGGCTGAGGGCTGGGGAGGGAACAGGATGGTGGAGAGACCTGGGGTTGTCTGATCGTCTGATCCTGCTTCTGGTGGGGAGATGAAGCAGACATCCCTCCTATTTATTTGTATCGACCAACCTGGCTATCCGGCCCTGCCTCCCCCAAACCACTATGCTGGCCAAAGCAGAAGGCACAGGGCTGCCTGCCACTAGGGCCCAGGAGGATGGGATCGATGAATATGTCCTAGCACCTGACATGGCTCCGGGCGTCACTGGCATCCTGGGCTGCACAGGCCGAGACTGAGAAAATTATGGGGAAAAAGAGGAGGACATCCCGGGGACCCTGAGGTGGGAGCATAGCTGTCAAGGGAGTTCTGCCGGCCCGGAGCCCACCCCAGCGTTCCCTTTCCCCACGTGCTCCATGTTCCTAGCTGTGGGGTGGCACCGTCCCGATCCCTGGCCCATGGAGAAGTCCCCGGTTTTGGTGGTGAAACCGGGTCGCGCTCACCACTTCCCCAGCCCCTGGCCCCAGCCCTGCCCCACCGCGGCCCCCCTTCCCGCAGTGCCCGCTCCCCGGTACCTTCACACTGCTGGTGCCTTCACAACACCGTGCCCCCGCCCTTCCCTTCGGTACGCCTCTGGGCGCCCCCAATCTCCCGGTGCTGCCCTGGTGTCCGGGTCTCTCCAAGTGCTTCCCCCCTCCCTGGTGGTCCCCATCCTCCCCGTGCTTCCCATCGCTTCTGCCCGCTTCCCAGTGCTCCCCGCCCCTCGGTGCCGCTGCCCCTCGATCGGAGCCCCCGCTGCCCCTCTGAACTTCCTACTCATGGCCCAGATCTGCCCCGGTGTCTCTCGCGGTGCGCCCCCAGGACCCCACCAATGCTCCCCCGTTACCTCACTGGTGCGCCCCCAAGCTCCCCCCTGCTGCTCCCCAAGGATCCCCCGCGAGTCCCCTCCGGTGCTCCCCTCGACCCCCGCGGGTCCCCTCCCGCGATCGCCCCTCCCGGTGGCCACCTCCGGATCTCTCCCCGTGAGTGGCCCCTAGGTACCTCATGGGTGCCCCCCTGGGGCCCATGGTGCCCCTAAGGCCCCTGGATGTCCCCGTCCCCACCTTTCCCCGCCCCGGTGCCCGCCCCCCGGCTCCCCCCTCCCCCTCAGAGCGCGGCCCCGCGGCGCGGCCCCGGCGGCGGACCATGGCGGGCGCGGGGGGCGCGGGGGGCGCGGGAGGAGCCGCCCCGGTGCCGGTGCCCCCCTGGTACCACCGGGACCTGAGCCGGGCGGCGGCCGAGGAGCAGCTGGCGCGGGCCGGGCGGGACGGCAGCTTCCTGGTGCGGGACAGCGAGAGCGTGGCGGGGGCCTACGCGCTCTGCCTGCTGTGAGTGGGGTACGGGCGGGGGGGTGCCGGGGGGACACCCACGAGGTACCGGGGGGGCATAGGGGGAGAGCCGGGAGCGGCCATCGGGGGTGACTGGAGGAGCTGCACCGGGAGGGGACCGGCGCGGGGCCGGGGGAGCTGCGGAGGCACGGGCAGGGTGTCCGGGGGAGGACCGGGGGCGACGCGGAGGGGGCAGCAGAGGGGAGCTCGGGGGAGCACCGGCGAGTTACCGGCAGAGCTTTGCGGGGGTCCCGGGAGAAACGGGACGAGGGGACCGGGAGAGATTCGGGAGTGGGAGTGGAGTGTTCAGGGGGGGCACCAGAGGGGCCTCGGGAATGGTCTGAGGAGAGCAGGGGGTCGGGAGGGGAGCTGGGGGTGGGTCCTGGGGGGGTCACTGCAGGGATTCAGGGGAGCACTGTGGTAACACAGGGTGGATGTCCAGGGTAGCACTGACAGAGAACCGGGAATAACAGTGGCACCGAGGGGGGGAGATGGGGCACCAAGGGAGCACTGGCAGGTGAAGCAGTGGGGATCATTGGAAGAGGTCCATGGGAGCATGCAGGGAGCATTGGGGGGGTACCAAGACCAAGAGGGCACCAGGCAGAGGGGGAAACCCACCTGGGGTTTACGGCGGTACTGTGGGGGTTGCTAAGAATTTGTGCACAGGGAGACTGGGTAAGCTCTGGTCATTGGGTGCTGAGTGGGCACAGACATGAGGAGACCTGGGAGTTCAGAGGGACACTGGCGCTTCTGGGACACTGGGCACCAGGGGAATGGCACCTGCTCTGGCCTAGGTGTCCCAGGAGACCGGACAACAACACCCTCTGGAGGGGCTGGGGATCTCTGGGCACTGGGGGATACTGGGCTGGCTCCAGCGGGGCTGTGACACTCACCCTTGCTACCATGGGGGTCTGTGAGATGGGGGGCTTGGTCCCTACCCCTACTCTTGGGGTCCCTGAGCCTACACTTGGCACTGGCAATCCCCAGCTCCTGCCCTCATGTCTGGGGGTCCCCAGCCTGGGGAAGGGAAGCAGCTCTGTGCCCTTGAGTTGTGCCATGGAACTCCATGGCTGCCAGGTCACAGGTGAGTGCTGATAGCCCTGGGGGTCCTGTAGTGCCTTTGCCCTGTGGTGCACCCCAGCACCCCACCACCTCGTTGTGCTGGTGATGTTCCATGTGCTGGGATGTTCCCAGGGCATGCCACCGGCTCTGTTCGAGGCTGGCTACCTGTGCCAGCACCTGGACCTTGATGTGGTTGTGGGGTGGTGGTGAGGGCACTTGAACTCAAAGCTTTTCTGCGCCCTGAGAGCCTGTGGGAGAACTGGGAGTGCGCTGTGAGCTGGCCTGCCCTGGCCTGGGGTTGTTGCTGTGTGCTGGTGCCATGTGCAGGTGCCAGGTATGCAGCCTCCATGGTGGCATGGTTTTCCTTCCCTATGGACAGTGGCAAATGCAGTTTCCCAGCCACATGGGCACAGCATGGCTCTGGGCACTGGCTCTCCACCGCAAAGCTGAGCTGGTGAGCAGCATTAGGCACAGCACTGGGAGAGCACTCAATTCTGGCACCTAATGGTGCCGTATGACTGGGGGGCATTGTGGCACCAGCGTGGGTGACAGGGAGCTAGAGACAGCATCATGGTGCAGGTACTGGGTAAGGTGTCTGTCATTGATGTCTCTCACTGCCTGGTGAGGAGACCATGGGTGCCACGTGCTGGGCTGTGGGCTTGGGACCATGCAGCATGGCAGAGTCCATCATGAGGGTGCCAGGTTGGGAGGCTGTGCTCCAGCAAGGACTGTTTGGAGTCCCTGGTGCTGTGATCTCACCAGGCATCCCCGTTACCACTGAGTGGGTGGACAGTACTGTGGGGCCATTGGCCCCAGCTATTGCTAGGGCCCTAAAAATAGCTGCAGGGTCAGGAGGAGGAAAGGGAACTGCAGCGGGATCCCGGCAGCGTCGGCTTCCTTTAACCCTCCCACTGGTGCGCCGTGGACTCACCGGGCTGGATGTTGCACACCAGGACATCTCACTGTGCCCTCGCCATGGCACACTGGGGTGTCTCACCGTGGCACACCAGGGTGTTGCACTTGTGGCCTCAGTGTGGCATATCGGGGCATCACTGGAACTCACAGTGCTGCCATACGGCAGTGGCACCCCAGGGCGTGCTGACATCACTGGTTGGTGAGCAGTGCCAATGGGGACAGTCCTGGTGTGGTGTCCCACAGGAGTGCGAGGGCTTAGAGCTTCCGTCCTGGCTCACTGCCAGTTCCTGGGGATACCAATGCCAGGGTGTGGTGCCAGTGGCACACAGTATCCCCCTTGTCAGGGTGCCCACATTCTGCTCTTGGTGGAGTAGGGTGGGGGGTGGCCCTCTGTGTGCAGAGCAGTGAATATGGGGTGCCCGCTGTTCTGGCAGGGCTGGGCAGGGTGCTGGCTGTGCGTCAGAGCCGACAGGGGAGTCCCGTTGCTCCTGCATAAAGGCTCTTTGTACCCAAGCCCGGAGCTCTCTTCCCCCCTCCCCCGGTCATTGCTCACCAAAATAGCAGCCGACAGCGGTGCGGGAGTGGGCAGCCAGGGGGCCCTGCAGTCCCCCTCTGCAGTACCACCCCGTGCTGGGTGTCCTTGCAGCCCCCAGCCATAGAGAACCCCTTGATGTCCCCTACAGCTGAGGTTCCTCCTAAGGGTCTTGCTCCTTGCTCCTCCAATCTGGAGTTACACATACTGGTGCTGTGCTGGGGTTCTTCTTGCACCCCCTATCACACCTCCACTGGTGTTCCTGCTATGGAGACCCCAGTTGTGTATTAGGAATTCCCACAGAAATTTCCCCCTTATGCTACCCTCGTTTGGTGCTGTCTCTTTGTGCCCCCCCATCCTACCAGCTGGGATTCTCCCACAGACTCCTTTGAGCTGGGAACCCTGATCCCCTCACCCACTCTAGCAGGGTTTTCCATACAGCCCCCTCGTATTGGATTTCTTTTCAGCTCTCCCTACCACTTGGAGGGTTCTCCATGGCCCCACCCTCCCAATGATCCCTGACTTGGCATTGGGGCACCTGGGAAGACCCCAGCAGTGCTGGGATAGGTTGTACCTGCAGGGGAGGCAGGAGAAATGGGCTGCCTGGCATTGCAGGGAGAGTGGTGGCACCAGGGGACCTGGTGCTGTGGGATGGCAACAGGGTAACCAGAACTGTAGGATGACACCTGACAGCGTGGGGCAGGATGTGGGGGCACAGCGTCCTGTCCAGTGACACAGCACAGCATGGGGGGGGGTAGATGTCACGTTGTCCCAGTCCTCCAGCCCTGTGTCGAGCTGCCACGGGGCAGGGGACACAGCAGCTGAGTGGCCCTGGTGTGGTGACAGCAGCCTCAATGCTCGTGGTGACCTCTGTGGCTAGAGGCCAGCCAAGGAGTCACCATCCCTGCTGACAGCCCTGGAGTGGGGAGGTCTGGCAGTGCTGAGGCTTCCTGTCTCCTGGAATCTCTGAGATGGGGAGGAGTTCCAATCCTGCTCCTTGTACCCACTGATGTTGTCACCCCATCTCTTAGCACTGCCCGTCACCTGCTGCCCCGGGATCACGTCCCTGGTTCCTGTCAGCTTCCACTGGAAAATAAATTGTTTCCTGGTGTCCTGGCT